GGAATTTTGATGGGTCATCAACCGGTACGTCAGTCTTTACGAGCTCGCGTCCTGAAGCGTCGCCGCCCGCCTCGGGTTTGCGGCGCGGATGACTTCGCGAATTCCACTCTCGTTTGCAAACAATTGCTAACTCGTTGCAGGACGTACGTGAAGCCCCAACAGCATTCTGCCGGCAACAGGCTTGGTCTCGCGCATACTAACACTTCGCAGAGGCCCCTGGTGAGAACTCCGATGTTTACCTGAAGCCCGTCGCTATCTTCGACGTATGTACCCCCGCCCCCACGCTCCCCTGAGCCTCGCTGACCACATCAGGACCCCTTCCGTGGCTCCCCCAACATCCTCGTTCTCTCCGAGTGCATCAACGCCGATGGCACCCCCAACAAGTTCAACTACAGGCACGAGTGCTCCAAGCTGATGGAGGCCCACGCCGACCACGAGCCCTGGTTCGGTCTCGAGCAGGAGTACACACTTCTCGACCTCAACGACAGGCCGTATGGCTGGCCCATGAACGGCTTCCCCGCTCCCCAGGGGCCATACTACTGCGGTGTCGGCGCCGGCAAGGTCGTTCAGCGCGACATTGTCGACTCCCACTACAAGGCCTGCTTGTACGCCGGCATCAAGATCGCCGGTACCAACGCCGAGGTCATGCCCGCACAATGGGAGTTCCAGGTCGGCCCCTGCCTCGGCATTGAGAGTAAGTTTTACGTTTTTGACGTCCTAACGCACGCGCTAACCTCTTACAGTGGGTGACCACCTCTGGATGGCCCGTTACCTCCTCGCCCGTATCGCCGAGGACTTCGGCGCCAAGATCTCCGTCCACCCCAAGCCCATCCCTGGCGACTGGAACGGCGCCGGTCTCCACAGCAACTTCTCCACCAAGGAGATGCGTGTCGAGGGCGGCATGGCCCACATCGAGGCTGCCATCAAGAAGCTCGAGGGCCGCCACCAGGAGCACATTGCCGTCTACGGCGAAGACAACGAGAAGCGTCTCACCGGCCGCCACGAGACTGGTGCCATCGACAAGTTCACCTGGGGTGTCGCCAACCGTGGTGCCTCGATCCGCATTCCCCGCGAGGTCGGCGCCAAGGGCTACGGCTATTTCGAAGATCGCCGCCCGGCTTCCAATGCCGATCCTTACCGTATCACCGGTATTATCGTGGAGACATGCTTTGGTGCTGTTTAGATAGTCAGGGATTAAGGTGTTGGAGCGTCTACTTTACGAACACGGGCGAGTTACAGCCTGCGCTCTATCTACATGAAGAGCGGGAAGATGTTCGGTCAGATCTTTTTTGTTCAAACGGGATAACTTCAGATGCTAGCGCTGCTTTCTACAGTGATTGTTTTACGACAAGTTTTTGACCGTTGCCTCGCCGTGACATGATGTTTGTGATAAGCGGTGGAATGGTGTCGTGAAATTAGGCACTCTCGGAGGGTGCCCAAGCGGGGGTCCAACCTGCAGCGCGACGGCATTCTGCCGTCCTAGCGTCGTTACACCACAGCAGTCTTGGCTGCGAACTCGGCGGGATGTTCACCGCGATTTCAGAAACCTCACCGTTTTCAGTCCGTCAGACAGTTCAACTGTGTACGCGGCAAGGGGTCATGCGGGGAGATGGGTTTTCATCGCGGTACACGGTAAACGGCGAAGTGATGCCGATTTGGGCAGCCATGCGATTCAGGGACAGCCGAGGCATTGGCACCGGGTGATCGGCGCGGAGAGGGGAGGCTTGGCACCGGGTGTTCCGGGTTTGGGTGCCGGGTTCTTCCGAGGACGTCCACGTCAGAAGCCGGGCCGAGCTGTACATCTGTTGTTAATAATAAACAATCCAAGATCAAGGAGCTGGGCACTTTAAGTGGCGTGAAGCGAGATGCGAGTCGACTAGGTAGATGCGACGCACGCTGTGTCCTGCACCGCCATGAGTTCTGTTGCTGTGGCTTCCATCGTTCTAGACGATGGAAGGGTTGCACGAAATCCTTGGCTACGTTGGCCTCGGAGAAGCCGCAGTGCGTCACCGACTCCTGTTGGGGAAAAAAAGTCGAGATGGGAAGCACATGGTTCCTGCCGTGATGTGTCATGTTGTGCCGTGTTGCCACAGCCTAGGCCAGTCCCAAGTTACAATCGAAAAATTATTCGTACGTTGCGCATCCATCATCTCGTTTCAGGGAACACGTCGTGTATCCGCCGGGCTGCGGGTGTGTTCCCGGTCGTTTTACCCCTGGACCCGCTGCTTTGGTGCGGGTGTGGATACTGTGAGAAAAACTGGGAGACCCACTTGGCCGCTGGTGATGCAGCTGGTTTGTGTGTCATGGTGTTTTGCTTCGGGGGTTAATCGAACGGAGGGTTTGATGGAATTACAGGTTGGATGCCACGAGTGGCTTTGAGAACCGAAGACCGACTGAGATAAAACTCTTGTTAAAGTCGGTGACTTCCTTGCATTGTATCTTTTACTCATTAATGTGAGCCATGAGCGGAATTGGCTACTCTAGCTCCAACGGTGGGAGTTCTGGGAACCCTGCAGTTTCCAGTACGGGAACTAGAGTGCGGAAGCCATGTGAAGAGCTCTTCCCCTGGCCTCAACTCTTGTGCATGTCGAGCTTCCCGTTACATGGGGCCCTGGCCGTGCTGTCAACGGAGATATCAGGCACCCTCGATCCCCTTGTATCGGTAACACCAGGGCCGCTGGCTTCTGACGCGTGATAGAGGACTAAGAGTTGTAAGGGGAAGCCTCAGTCTCGTGTCGTACGCCGCAGTACCTGAGCATTGCCGATCTCCAAACCCCGTCCTCGTTCCACCCATCGCGTAGCTCACGAGAGCGAGAGAGTCTGACGACCACATTAACAGGACCCTGCATGAGGTGAACCTGTATCCCCAGTCGCGAAATTTCAAATGCTGCTCCCCGGATTATGTCCTTGATTTCTGATCATGTCCCTGAGAAATAGGTCTCGGTTGCCTTGTGTATTCAATCCTATGCCCAGACGCATCACCTGCTCTGTCGTTGATAGGAAGTTCTTGTGGCTTTGCAATCAAGGTGGCTTGGTCGCCACGATTCACATGCTTTGCAATGCCGTTCGAACCCGGCGCCGATTGTTGCGGGTCAAAGTTTGAAGGCCGTGAGATTTCGGCTCACCTAAGCCATCATGTCGTTGCTTCCTAGCCTATGTCAGCATGGTGCCCGTCACCACTTCCTCCGTTACCGCCTGGGATTTGGGTTGCCTTCGGCCGGCTGCTTATCAAGAAAGCCCGGCTCTCCATCAGCCCATTGCTCTCTTCGGCATCGCCCACGACCTGGCAGGCATCTATCACCACCGGCCCGCGGTAACCCTGTCGAGACCAATCCCGTCGAGATCACAAGCCAACCAAAACACGCCGCAATGCTCCTCCTCAGCCATCTCGTACCCCCCCTGAGCTTCCTCCTCGCTCTCACCTCCCCCGCCACCGCCGCCCTCGTCGACCTCTTCGAAGACGAGAACTGCCAAGTCCTCATTGGCAACCGCAACGTCTGGGACAATTCCTGCGCCGTATGGCAGAACCACAAGTTCAAATCCTACAATATTACCTACCCCGGAGGGAAATACCAGAAGCTACACCCGTTCGACTACTCATGGTGTGTGGGGTGGAAGCCAGAGCATTGTTTCAAGGCTAAGGTGGACGATACCTGTCATAGAGCGGATTTTTACGAGTTGGGATACAGTTATGCGATGGGGAGCTGTATGTTTTGCAGCGTCTTCTGAGGAGGTGTTTGGGGTTCGGCGGGATGGGGAGCTGTGGTTCGGCTGTGAGCGTTTGGGGGATTCCGGATGCTGGCGTGGCGTTCGGACCAGGTGAACGTTGGCGTTGAGAACTTCGGGACGAAGAGGGTAGCGTTGAAGGATCGAAGCTGATGGAAGTGGAAATTATTGGCTGGATATGTGTGTAATCTGAATTGTTGTAGAGTGCGCTGATTGACTCCAACTCAACTCGACGCGACTGAATGGCGTCGGGCAAAGAGACCATGTGACAAGAGATTCCTGGCATGGCGTTGCAAACAAGCTTCGCCACATCCAACAACAAAGCGGGACGGGGTCGCACAATAGCTTTGTACCATGCGGTTGTCGCGCTGTTGTCCTCCCGCCCATTTAACGCGTCAACAAAGAAGCCAGCCCTCTTCGTATTGCCAACAGCGAGCCGCTGAGACCAACAGCAGAGATGTCTACGTCAACAAGGACGAAAGTATTGCTTGATGCGCTGGAGAGAATCGATACCGCGTTGAACGCCGGCACTGAGCCCGAACCGGAGGCCAAGCGCGTGGCCCAGGAGACGCCGTCCCCGGAAGACCAGGACTTTGGGGACCGCGTGTGTCGAGAGATGGGCGCCAGTTTGTTTCGATTCAAAGACGTCGTCCCTTTTACATTCTTTCACGACGTAAGGGTGAGTAATCCCGTCTCTCAGGTTGGACTGTCGATACCTTGACGCAGCGCTGGAGACGCATGGCTAACTCTCGGTTGCTGCGTTTAGGCTTGGGCCAAGGTGCGCCACCCGGGAGACCCCGCTGCTGCCGCGGAGGAGATCCGACAGTTCGTCATCAGCTTCGTGTATTTCTTCTGTACATCGGCGGGCCCTCCCCAGGCGCCGATTCCAAGGCAGCCGATGATGATGGCGCTGAGCCGAATGGCGGATACGGTGAAGGGGAACAAGACTTTGGAGGTCAGGCTGCAGGGTTTCGTCCCGTGTTGGAAGCGGGGAGCCTCGGAGGCGGATCAGTTATACCGGGTGAAGGTGTCAATACCGCCATCTCTGCTGGAAGACTTGGAAGGGACTATCGTGGATGTACTGGGATGGAGCGATGATAGAATGAATACCGAAACAGATTAAGATGAGGCTGAGATGAACGAAAGAATGTGTCAGGTTAACAATACGATCAAGGATGGCGGGGTATCTGCCTGTTGTGATGGAAGGAAGGCGCGCCCAATAGTCCTGCGTCCAGAGATCGGAAAGCAAAAAGAGAAACGCAGCTTGAGATGCATGCGCCATCCGAGATTCGAACTCGGGTCCCTTGCTATTCCAAGAATAAATGTGATGGGAAGCAAATATTCTAACCACTGAACTAATGGCGCGGCGAGCCACGTTGTGTTGTGGATGTTGGCGCGATATCGCGAGACTTGAGGGCCCACAATCAGGGACTGGTACCAGCACCGAGTGGCTGTGGGGCCAGCGACGCCATCGGTGAGGATATGGTGTAAACGGACAAGTTCCTCGAAATAGCAAGAGTTGACGCTCAGAAGCCCTAGAGGAGAGCATCCCAACATTGGGTAATAGTCAGGGGAAAGTTAACCCTTTCTGCCCCTTTCCCTTTCTAGCCCACTCCATACACATCCTACGCATCCAAATTCGCACGAAATACTTCACATTGACTACCGTAACTTCTAGCATATCTCCAATTTTCTCTATTATCTCATCTCCCTCCCTCCAGGGGAAACAGGAAACCAGCCCGCCATTGACTAGCAATGACAACCCTTCATTACCAACTCACCAGCCACCAAAACTCCGCCTTCTCACTACCCCTCTGTTCTCCCACCCCTTCCGCTCACCCCCCTCACTAACACACCTCTCCAATATCCCATCCACATCTCTCCCCTTCTCAGGGCAAACCTTCCTCCAAAACGGAGTCTCCTTCAACCAAAACCTCACCTTCCTCCTCGTATCCGCCTTCGGACCGGGTACATTGAGGTGTGCCTCCCGCTTGAACTTCATCTTCTGCTCGCGCTCGGGGGCGCGATACGGAGCGGATTCGTAATTTACGGAGCGGAAGGTGAGAGAGGGGTCGTGGGGGATGTATCGGTAGCGGGAAGGACGGGGGTAGAGGACGGGGGTGAAGCGGGGGCGGGAAGGGGGAAGCTTATCCATCTTGGAGATGAGGTGTGTGGTTTGGTGAGCGTGATGGTGGGCGTGATGGTGGGCGTGATGGCGCAGATGGATGTGAATAGGGAGTGCTTGGCGAGACCAGGAAGATGTAGATGGATGTGAAGCAATCTGTTAATATAGAGATTCCCAGTTCGAGTGTTCAGGACAACGTCTTTGTCGTGCTGGTGTAGTCCCTTTGTGATGAGAGTGGCGGAGAGGCCCCTGTAGCACAAAGAATCCGAGTCAAAAAGGTTACTCGCCAACACAGTGTGAAAAGCAACTCCCTCACTCTCCAACGATTCAGACAAATTGGGTAATATTCAGCGTTAAACATTATCGACTCCAACCTATAATATGCGCTCTCTCCTAACTCTAACAACCAGAGTCCAACCTCACCCCAACACCAACCAGGCTCAAACACGTCCTCGCCAGAAAGATACAGCTCAAACCACCAAGACGCCTCGATTCGAATGGTCATGCCCGAAGACGAAAGAGAGGGGTATGGTTCATATCCGACGACCTGAAAATGCATAAAAAGGTACTTGCCAACACCAAAGTCGGGAACGCCTCAACGCTTTCCGTACGCCGGTGGCGAATCAGGATCGGCAGACGAAGGGGCAGGGCCTTGAGTGTTCTACTGCCTAATCCCTTGCTTTGCCTGGGAGGTGTTAGTCATATCCAACACAAACTCCAGACTCTCAGCACGTACCTTCATCTGCTCAATGCGGGCCTTCAACTGGCTCGTCACCTCCGCGGCTCTCTTCCAGCTCTCCACCCCGGTGCCAGCAGGGGCTGCGCTTGCTGGAGGATCTCCTAGCCTGCTTCCGGTCCGGCTCTCAGCTCTACTGTTGGACCTATCACCGTAGCCGTTGAAGCCGCTCGCAACTTGGCCGTCCATGCTCCGTGGTTCTCTCTCCTCGACGTCGCGCCTGAACCCCCTGGCTGGGCTGCCACGTCCGCTGCTAGCGGTGCTCCCGGCGTACCTAAGCTCGGGGCTCAGCTTGTTGCGCGGGTATGACGCTGTCTCGCCGTTCTCCTTTTCCTCGCTGAGCGTGCTGTTAAAGCTCATGCGGTTGCGGTTCCCGCCGGCCTGGTGCATGCCGTCACGGTAAATGCCGGCATCGTCGTGAGTCGGACTCATGAGCCCGGGGTTGGGGGAGCTGGGGCTGCCGGGCCCGACACCAAACGTCTCGGCCTTACTCAAGGCACGTTTGAGTCGATCCAGCTCGCGCCGAAGGCGGTCGTTGGTAGCTTCCGCTGCTTCGGTGTCGCTGCGGGCTCTAACCAGCTGGGTCTCCTTGGCTTTGATGGATAACACGTCTCTGGTGTGGTCCTCGATGAGACCGGCATTGTGGTTCTTGAGCTCCTGGATTTCTGAGAGGAGCTTTGACCTCTCGTGCCGGGACTCTTCTAGCTGCTTGAGGAGGCGCTCATTCGCAGCGCGCAGTTCTTCCAGCTCAGCACGCTCGATGGCCGCCAGACCGGAACCTGGTGTTGGCGATGGTGGCGCAACGGGGGCGGCTGGGGCTGCCGGCTTTGCTAGGGAGCGGCCGGCAAGACCGCCCCTGCCCATACCGAGACGCGGCGCAGGTTTGGCAGGCGGAGAGATAGGAGGCTCGTACTCATCCAGTGGCGGAGAGGGGGCGGCAGCCGGGCGACGAGGCGAGGCAAGGCCACCAGGACCCGGAAGCGCCCGTTTTTGAGGGGCTTTGAGACCTCCGAGACCTCCGGGCTTGGGCATGCCGAGTTTGCTTGCCGGCGCGGCGCGGGAGGTCGGCTCCGGCGCGAGGGGTTCTGGTGGAGGAGCCGCAGCCGGGGCTGGTTTCTTCGCGCCGAGCGCTGGCTTCTTTGCTCCTCCCATAACCTTCTTGGGTGGAGGGCCCCGGGACACAGGTGCGGGTGGCGGCTTTGGCTTGTCCTTGGCCTTGACCTCGGCTGTCTCGAAGAACTCCTTGATCTTGGTTTTGCGGATGTCGTCGAGGCCCTCAAGATGGGGGTTCATCGCGCGCTCCCCGATAATCTTCATGACTGTTCCCAGGATCTCGGCGCCGCCGGATCGGAGGACCTCGCTACCCTCAGATAGCAGCTTCTTCGCGGCCTCGACGATGCTCGCGATTTCCGGCTTGGCAGGAACATCCCTCGTCGTCCTGAGGCATCGTACAAGAAACTTCATGGTTCCCTCCTTGACTTGCGGATTCTTGTGAGCGAGATATGTCGTGATATCCTCAAGACAATCGGTGAGGCTGGTCGTGGTGAACACCGCGTCTAGGGCAGCACCGAGGGCATCGGAAACCGTCTGTTTCTTCTCCTTCAGCCTCTCCATGATGGGTTGCATCACGGTTGATCGGTACTTGGCGTAGCCTCTTCGCAGCCCCTTGGCCAGCAGTTCAATACACTGCGCCGCCTGGGTGACGACTGCAATGTTGGCGTCCTTCATGCACTTGGCTAGGCAGCGGTTGACCTCGCCAAAGTCGGCATCCTTGATCCTGGGGACGTTGACAAGAGCGTACAGCGCCTCCAGCGCCTCCTTCCTCTCTTTCCACTTTGTGGAGGCGAGGTTGTCGAAGAAGTCCTTTGGGATTTTCCCGGCAACGTCCTGGGGCTCGGCCAAATCGAAGGCGTCGATCTCTGCTGGCTCTTCCTCGCCGCCGTCATCCTCCTCCCCGTATTCGTCGCCCCCGGCTGCTGGTGCCCGCGCCTTGGCAGCTTGTTGCGACCTGAGGAGTCGCTCTTGTTTTGGCGCCCCCTCGGCCTTCACTTTCTCGAACTGCGCTTCGAGGTCCGTTTGCTGGGTCGGCTTCAGGTCGCCCCAGAACATGGGCTTCATCGCCTCGCGCAGCCATCGGTAGAACTCGACGGCGAGGTTTGTTGCTTCCGCTCGCACGTTCTTGTCGGCGTGGCCAAACACCTTGGGCAGCACCTTGAGGACGGGCTTGGGGTCGGCTGTTTTGCAGCCATAGTTGTGGAATATCTGGACGAGGGCGGCGAGGGAGGCGGCGACGACTTTCGGCTGCTTGTTGGAGAGCGCAGGTAATATGTCTTCGATGACCGGACCAGGGACGTCGAGCTCGATGAACAGCAGCAACGCTTCTAGCGCCGAGGCCTTTGTTGCCGCACGGGTCGAGGACAGGCCTTTTTCGACAATGGGCGTGACCGCATGCTGCCTCGCGCGCACGGCGCCTTCGCGACCGCCGAACTTGAGGAACGAGCAGAGTGCGTTTAGACCTTCTTGCTGCGCCGCGACGTTGGAGTCTGCAGCCGCGCTCTTCCACAAACTTGGCTCCTGGACGAAGGGCCGAAACGCGGCGTCGTACTCGTCTACTGTTTTTTCAAACTGCTTGGCAGCATCTTCGTATGCCTCTTTTCGCACCTTCCACGCCTTGTGTACCCAGCGGTCCGTCAAGGGCAAGGAGCTGAAGTCCTCTTCTTCGGCCATCTTGCTGGCCTTTTACTCGTAGGGGTTGAGTCGATGTTTGCGGTGTCGTTAATCGGAGGCAATCGGAGCCTACGCGACACGCGTCCTATTAGTTTCTAGACCCAAAAATGACTGCAAAGATGTCCAGCGGCTGCCGAAGCGCCGCAGTGAATGACGGGGTCCGAGGCAAAACGTTGAGCTTCACCGTTCGGGGTGGGACGTACGTTGTTGCGTCAAATCCTGACCACGGGGCCCGTGTGATGGAGAAGTGACAGCTGCTGTAGCGGGGCTGTACCTTTACACAAATCGATCCAAAGGGCGAGTTTCGTCTGGTGTTGCTCGCGATGATGTTTTACGGGAGATGAAAAAAAGCTCGAGGCGCCGGATTGTTGATTCTGGGCGTCGGTGCTGGGAACTGCGATTGCCTGTGGTTGGCGGGACAAGACCGGGGTCAGCCAAGGGTGGCCTGCTGGTGGGACGGGTCGTGGGCGGGACAGATTTGGCCGTGCGATCGACTCGTGAAGAAACGCGATGGGGCAATGCAACCGGCGCTCTGCAAGCTTGCCACAGAGCAGGAAGGCCTCACGCAACTCTATTCTCGCTATCTGCGTTTTACTTTTAGTCTGCGGCTTTTGTGCGGTGATGCGCCGGCTTGCATCTCAACAACACTGCTTTGGGGTCTCCTGCAGGGCATTTGTTGACGTGGTCGCCCAATCGCCTGCGGGGCTGCAATTGCTGGAGAAACCCGGCCGTGATGTCACCAATCCCTGTCGCCTACACCCGTCGGAGTCCCGCTGG